CAGATACGTTTTTCTCCTCAGAAAGCTCAATGGTGGCATCATTGAATGCAGACAGCAGAGAGAGGCACCCACTTATGGTGAACTCAGCAGAGGTCAGTGTGGTGATTTCCGTGTTCAAACTGGCTAATGCCGCACTAACTGGTTCTTTGAGGTCCACCAGACGTTGCAGCATGTGATGTGCTGTTCCAGCGGCTCTCCACCTCTTGCAGAAGCATCAGTGTGGGCCTTCCCAATTGCTTTTGCACCGATACAAGCTTCTCCTTTTAAAAAACAATTAAATATGTATTTAATTGTCAAATAGCAGTAACATAAACAGAGCATTATTATTATTCATTACTAACCAATGAAAGAAAGGTCAAAGCACATACCTTAGCAAGGGTGCTGCTCCTGAAATGTCCCACCAGTTTATTATTATGCCTTTTTTATGTTCGGGCTAATCCTGGGTGGGGATTCAGTCCCGGTTGGAGGCAGGCGTTTCGGCCGCTGATGTTTACCTTTTAAAGTCGCCTCGAGCCCGGCACGCTCCAGAAGATAAGTATGAGTTTGTGGTAGGCAGGATCTGGGGAAGCTTGTTATTTGCCAGACTAGAGTCAATAATTGTGTAGCATCTGGCATCAGTCTGATTGGACTGTTGTTACGTGAGGTGGTTTAATTGTAGCTGTAGTTGCAAGTAAGCTATAAATGGTTAGCTGTCAGTCTATGGTGGTAGACTAGTGCAGCAGTGAGAGTGTTGTGAATTAGTTTGTGTTATCTTTATGACGGGTACTGCTTCTGATAATGGAACAGAGCATGAATTAACACGTACTGTCTGCTCACCTCTGTATTATAGCATTCACCCTCAGACCAATAATCTGTAGAATTTCACAGACCCTCAAATTACTTCCTCAATTCAAATAAGACTGCAATTAATTGAACATAGATTCTTCATGATAGATTAGCCAGTATTAAAAAACAATCGACACATTCTCTGCCTTGATCTGCAAGGATTCTTCTTGGTGCTTCAAATTGATACAAAATGTTAAGAATGCACCCGGTTTCTTCCTCTGCCGATTTGGTCTTGAGGGGGTATGCCTGTGGCCCTTTGGTCATGTAATCAGTCATCACACAGACATACTGGTACTGGTGCCCATATTGTCATTGCCAGCTTCCCAATCAAATCCATCCCGACAAGTTTGAAGGGTGGTGTGACCTACCAAAGACCAAAAATGTTAAGAGCATGAAGTATTCTATTTGCACAGGTTAACTCGAGGGTGTGATAATTCGTCACTAAACATGTTAGAGGATCCTTTATAATCATCCTATCGAGCTTACATACTTCAAATTAATAATGTGTAGTTCTTATTTTTAACAAAATATACACACCCTGTTTTATCACAACGGCACTGGCTTGGCATTCAGTACATTGAGCCACCTTAATGCAGGAAAATAGTAATGTTATCACATCATTTAAATAGTTCCAATTTGCCTGTTTTCAAAAACAAATATCCACCTGTTCAAATCAACACAGATTAGTTATTGTATTTTTGTGTTAAAAAAAAAAAGTGTAGACAGTAACTCTATTCAGCTCATTCAAGTTGGAGAATATGAATGTATTTTAAATTTCTGTTAAAAAAAAATTTTATTGAACTAAACACATTTATATGCATTATAATTTTAGAATGTGGAAATTAATAAACAACTGTGAACATAGTACAAATGAACTGCAGTTCAACTTTGTTTGTATTTATATTGAAAAAACAATTATTCAATATACAGGGGCTACGTTGTACATTTCTCACCTTCGGTGTCATACTTCATGGATCGTCGTCATATACATTTTTTACGAGTTTTCGCGGCACCCTCTGGATACTCGCCTTTTTGTTTTATAATGAACTCATTCTAAATGGATTTCCGGACCCATGTCTACGTGAGACATTCGGTTAACAGGTCAAAACATTCCTGTAATGCGAGCAGAACAAGTCAGATGCTTGTGTCAAGGGAAAGCAAGACTAAATACACAGAAGGGTAATCACAAGACAAGACACAGCTGGAGAGGGGAGGGGGAACAGGCAGCAGGTGAACACAATCAGACAATCACACAGGAGGGAAAACACAGAATAATGAAATAACTTCTTCACATTGACTTGTTTTCGTATCATTTAGATGATGATGTTTACTAATATTAAGAACAATACAAAAGTATTATTGGTTTTAGTGTTGTAATTAGCTTTTACAAACCTATTGTTATCAAGTATTCAAATGGAGAAGATACCACAAACGTGGACAATTTGGGTGAGGGTCAAAGATACTTTTCTTTATGTTGTGTCGGGAATAAACAACATGTGCGATGTTGAAAGAATTTAAAACACTTGAACTTGTAAAAGCAGGGATTTGTCATGGCCAGGAAAGAAGGGTCATTTTATTCAGACAGTAAAACAGAAAAAGAGAACGGACTTGGTCGGCATGCAAATACAAGGTCAAAGACTCACTCAAAGACTTGTACAGATGTAAATATTTCAAGCGAACATCCATATTTAACAGAACATGGACAATATTTTCTTTTTCTTCTATAACTTTTCTTTCAAAATGCTTACATACATTTGTTAAACACTGGAAGATCCTCACATTAATACCGGGACCTTCAATCAGAAAGTCTCCTATTTTGAATTTGTTGCATAACTCCCCATATCTCCTCTCATTCTTTATACAGTTGCCCTCTTATAAAGACATTTCAACTACCCCCAAAAATACTTTGAGCATGTCGCAGAACTTTAAATGAACTGGTTCAACTCTTGCTAATAGCAAATACATTTAGATCTATATGATGGGGTATCAATCGTTTGAACCTTGACATTTTGTACTGTTCTGAAATGTTTTTTTTGACATTTCTGTTCTGAAAAGTGTCAACACACTGTCAACGCAATCTGTGTCTTTTGAAGAAAAATAATCACAATGCTACTGGAAGTTCATAAATTGGTTAATCATTAATAACCACTGCTTTAATTGGTATTCATTGGGAGAAGCGGTGCAGCAGAAGGCACTAATAAATGGAGAGGAATAGACTCCACTGTATGCTGCAGGGAAGATATCCGCTGCAGTTATTAGTGCAGAACAACACGGTCAATATACATTTTGAATTATAATGAACAGCTGTGACAGAGATATTCAGGAAGGACAATGTGATATATGAAACCTTCGCTGACCTCATCATCAATTGTACGTTTTCCAGACAAATCTCTGGTCAACATGAGGGCAGCTTCCCCCCAGCTCCACTGCTCGTCATCATCGGTCTGCATCGGCTGAGGCTCATTATGAGATGGAAATGAGGCTACCGTGAAACCGCTCATACATCACTTGTTAGGATACATCTTTTTCAGTAGAGTATAGACATATGATGATGAGCAGAGGCATAAATATTGATGTTGTGCATGATGTTCTTTTACAAACTAGAGTCGATTTATTCTTATAGCAAACGGTAAATCAAAAAAGTTAGAAGCAGTATTTTTGAAATGAATAACAACAATCAGAGTGGTTTTCAAAGGGCTATGCTCATCTCAGGTGTATATCAGTATGTAGTGTCTATACTTTAAAGAGTCCTCTCCTGCTGATGTTCAGGTGTATATCAGTATGTAGTGTCTCTACTTTAAAGAGTCCTCTCCTGCTGATGTTCAGGTGTATATCAGTATGTAGTGTCTCTACTTTAAAGAGTCCTCTCCTGCTGATGTTCAGGTGTATATCAGTATGTAGTGTCTCCACTGGGACATGTCTCCATGCTTTAATGTTCAAAAAGCTCTTTATTTTTCTCATACTGCCTGTGCCCTCTTTTCACCCTCTGTCTGAAACCAGAGTCCAGTCTGCTCTGATTGGTTAGCTGGCCG